AAACAATACAAACCCACCACAGTCCACCCCTTGGCAACTTGGCATTCATATATCTATCTCCATTAATCATACTCAACTTCCAGATAAAGGAAACATCATAACTATGCTTCTCCCCAATATAATGCAACTATCCTTGAAAACTAAAAAACACGCTAACCCTCTCCCCAAAAGACAACACTGTCTCTTTATTCATCTTTGCATGATTTTCATTATTCTTCTAGTTGAATCCCTGTCCCCATTAGATATCCTGTAACAGAAATACTGAGAGGTGAGGTTAACTGCTAATACATATTAGATGACAGAGGGAATAGAAGAGGGAAAAAGACAAACAAAATAACCTCCCCACACAACACACACCCACACACTCCACACATACAAAGCAAATGTGATAAAGCTTCCTCCTGAGCTACCTGATCGTCACATCTGCATAGAGTCTATGGCTTAATTCTTTTCTCCGAACACTTGTAAATGAGATTAGTTCAAAGAAAATTAAACTAATGAGTTAATTAATGTAATTACTTGAAGAGAAAAGAAGCATAATTACTACAAAGTAAATGGAACAGAGGATTAAAGCCATGAAAGCAATCTATGACATCATTTGTGATTTTATGCGTAAGCTCTTTCAAAAATAAATCTGGTTTGGGCCAGTTTGTCATCATGACCATCTGGGTAAAAATGTACTATTTTGATCATTATTTGTTTTGTAGCTGAATTTCATATATTATTTTTTAAAAAATTGAACTTATTGGGGTGACATTAGTTAATAAAATTATATAGGTTTCAGGTGTACAATTCTATAATGCATCATCTGTATACTGTATTGTATGTTCACTACCCCAATCCAAATCTCCTTCCATCATCATTTTCCCCATACCCTCTTCTACCGCCTCACACCCTCATATATTATACTTATTTTTAAACTATTAAATATGTTGAGTTAAACATTTATTAAAATACTAGAGGCCCAGTGCACAAAAAATTGTGCACTTGGGGGTAGGGGATCCCTCAGCCCGGCCTGTGCCCTCTCCCAGTCTGGGACCCCTCGGGGGTGACCACTTGCTGGCTTAGGCCTGCTCCCCAGGGGATTGGGCCTAAGATGGCAATCAGACATCCCTCTGGCAGCCTGGCAGCCTTCGGGGGATGTTCACTTGCCAGCGGGGAACAGACCTAAGCTGCAGTCAGACATCCTTAGCACTGCTGAGAAGGCAGGAGAGGCTCCCACCACCACTGCTGTACTGGCAGCCATCAGCCTGGCTTGTGGCTGAGCAGAGCTCCCCCGTGAGAGCGCACTGACCACCAGAGGGCAGCTCCTGCATTGAGCATCTGCCCCCTGGTGGTCAGTGTGTGTCATAGTGACCAGTCATTCCCAGTCTTTCTGCTGTTAGGGTCAGTTTGCATATTACCCTTTTACTATATAGGATAGAGGCCTGGTACACGGGTGGGGGCCGGCTGGTTTGCCCTGAAGGGTGTCCCAGATCAGGGTGGGGGTCCCGCTTGGGTGCCTGGCCAGCCTGGGTGAGGGGCTGATGGCTGTTTCCAGCTGGTCACACCCCCTTCAGGGTGGGGGTCCCCACTGGGGTGCCTGGCCAGTCTGGGTGAGGGGCTGAGGGCCGTTTTCAAGCTGGCGGGCGACTGAAAGCTCCCAGCCTCTTTTTTTTTCTTTTTTTTTTTTTATTCTGGGATTTATTTACCTTCTATAGCTGTCACTGGAGCTGAGAGCCAGCTCCAGCTCTGAGGCTGTGGCCAGCTGAAAGCAGGTATCTGGGGTTTGTTTAGCTTCTATAATTGAAACTCTGTTGCCATCACTGGTGCTCTAAGCTCTGAGCCCGCTGCTGGCTGAAAGCGGGTATCTGGGGTTTGTTTAGCTTCTATAATTGCAACATTGTTGCATCCGGAGCTCAGAGCTGGGCCACGGCAGGCGGGGAACCTTGGCTTCCTCCATCACTGGAGCAAGCAAGCCTCATGTTCGCTTCAGCTGTGTGGCTGCCGGCCACCATCTTTGTTGGCAGTTAATTTGCATATCCTGCTGATTAGCCAATGGGAAGCATAGAGGAGGTATGGTTAATTACCATGTTTGTCTATTATTAGATAGGATGCCCACTTTGTAATTTAAATATTTCATTGGAATTTGAAATCAATCTGTAGAAAAAAACAAAATTTGCTTTTATTGCTTTAATTTGGCTTAGTATAACCACTTTTGAAAGAAGTTATTTTTATGACAATTTATCCAAAATTCCTAATTAAGTTGCAAAACCTTGCCTTTTTTTTGGGGGGGGGGATCAAATAATATAGGAACTTCAAGTACAAAAGCTATTTTATTTCAGATGTTGGGAGATGACAATTTAATTTACTTCATCAAGCATTTGAGCAAAAGTCTCATCTGAGTACTATTCAGGATAAAAATATGAGGAAGACAGTCTCAGAGGACTATAGTATGAAAACATAGGAAAGCCATGTTTACAAATTAATATAATAAGAGGCAAAACATACAGTCCCTCTCCTGGAATGTTTCTCCCCACCTGTCTAGCTAACTTTCTTCCTGATGCTTCTTCACTCTCTGTATGTACTCATGTACTTCTTTATTTCTATTTTAATTTTGTTTGTTTTTCTAAGATCAAGGACCATAAGATCCCCTGTTTGTTCATTCCTGTTTCCCTAGCACCTGTCATATGCACTTAATAAGTTTCTATTGAACAGAATTTATTATAATTTAACTAGTGGCCCGGTGCATGAAATTCATGCACATTAAAAGGGAATTAATTAGAGGAAATATTTTAATATTGCTATTTGCCCTTTCTCTATAATAGAAGTGTCAGAGATGAAAGAAAATTAGTAAAATGTATATGAAAATCTTCCTCCTGTCAGAGTCAGGGGCGTGCCATGGGACCCAGAGTCAAGTCCCCACCCACCTGTGTGCGCCTTGAAATCACGTGAGACCCAGACCCAGCTGGCCCCACCCCCATCAAGCCCTGCCGGGCGGGGGGGTGCAGCCTCAGGTCTCCTGTCAAGCTCCGCCAGGTGGGGGGTGCAGCCTGAGATCCCTCAGCCTGACGCTGGATTGGGGGCGCAGCCTGAGGTCCCCTGGCCAGGTGCTGGGGTGGGGGGCATGGCCTCAGGTCCCCTGGCCCAGGGCGAAGGGCATGGTCTGAGGTCCTCCAGCCCTGCACTGGGGCAGAGGCACTCCTTGAGGTCCCCCGTCAAGCCCTGCTGGGCAGGGGGCACAGCCTGAGGCCCCCCAGCTAAGGCTGGGGTGGGGGGCACACCTTGAGGTCCCCTGTCAAGCCCCGCTGGGTGGGGGTCATGGCCTGAGGTCAACTGCCAAGCCCTGCCAGTTGGGGGGTTGTGGTCTGGGGTCCCCTGTCAAGCCCCACAGGCCAGGGGGCATGGCCTGAGGTCCCCAGCTGGGCCCCGAGGTGGGGGGCCCAGGCTGAGATACCCTGTCAAGCCCTGCTAGGGAGGGGGGGTTGGGCCTCAGGTCCCCCACCCTGGCCCGGCTTCACGCAGCCTCAGGTCCCTGCTGATTGCTCATTAAGGCTTGTTACGGGAACTTGGCCTCCGCCGTGGGTGCAACCATCTTGTGTTACGGAAACCCCACCTCCACTGTGGGCACCACCATCTTTTGTGATGGTATGACAGTCAATTTGCATGTTCCCTCTTTATTAGATAGGCTATAAATTAAAATGATATAAATAAAAGGATCTAGAAACCTTCAAAAGAGGAAGTGCTGCCATATGGTTGGGCAAATAAATAAAATCTGGGGTAATTTTTATTTAAGGTAGATTTGAGAAAATGGGTAGCATTTTAAAAGTTAAGGAAAGGCCATTCAGAGCACAAGGAATAGTGACAAAGGCCAATGAGCTATAAACTAAAGGATGTACTTGCCAAACATCTCATACAATTTGACCAGAGTTATTTTTTATAGTTTAAAATGTGTTGCATTATTATATTCATATAGAAATTTTTCCACTTAATCTGAATATTTAGGGTTAATTTTTGTACCTTAAGTTCTTCATACACCTAAAAATATTTCTACCTTTTCCCGTGGAGTGAGGTGAGAGAGCTGTAGAATCCCAGCATCACTTACTGAGCACTTAGCATATGACAGGTACTGCTCAGCACTGAACATCGATGGCCTCATTCATCCCCCTCTCATCCTCCCTATGAGGGAGATACTATCATTATTCCCATCTTAGAGAAGAGGGCACTGAATTTGGTGGGATAATGTCCCTGGCCCCAATGAGACAACTACTAAGGGCTGAAGCCCATATTCTCACCCAGACAGCTGAGGACGAAATCTTCTTTTCTCTTAAATATTACACGATGGACACGAATCCATTGCTCTCCAGAAACAGGAATTAGAGGCTCATTGGAGAACCACTGGGGGGGTAGAAGGCCTGGAACTGAAGGAAGTCATGGCTAGCTGGGGAACTAACATGACAGGAAGTTTCTCAGGTGATGTGGACAATGTGATAGGAGTATACTGAACTCAAGACTGTAAAGCACTTGAGAAAACAAACACTTTGAAAGACAACAGTTTTGACGATAGAATATGCCTTGCTCTGGGGCTGTGGGAAATTGCGAACCATGGAATTAACCTAACAAGGGCAGCAAATGGGCTCACTTCCTGGTAAAAATAGCCTCCATCATTCATAAACCATAGGTGCCGCGATGTCAAGTCATCCACATTGCAAAACAGCCCAGTTTTCGTTATATTTTTTTATTGATTTCAGAGATGGAGGAAGAGAGAGAGAGAGAAACATCCATGATGAGAGAGAATCACTGATCGCCTGCCTCCTGCAAGCCCCACACTGGAGCGGGCAACCCCCGCATGCGTCCTGACTGGGGATGAAACCTAACCTCCGGGTTCACATAGGTCTCCGCTCAACCACTGAGCCATGCGGGCTGGGCACAGCTCCGTGTTTAAATAACCGTGAAAGAAAACGAACGCGAGCCACGAACTCTTGGTGTTAAGCGGCATCTTCCAAATCCTTCTCTCGCAGGGAACATCTTTGTGGTGAGCCTGGCGGTCGCCGACCTGGTGGTGGCCGTGTACCCGTACCCCTTGGTGCTGACGTCCATCCTGAACGACGGCTGGAACCTGGGCTACCTGCACTGCCAAGTCAGCGGCTTCCTCATGGGCTTGAGCGTCATCGGCTCCATCTTCAACATCACGGGCATCGCCATCAACCGCTACTGCTACATCTGCCACAGCCTCCGGTACGACCGGCTGTACAGCAACAAGAACTCGCTCTGCTGCGTGCTCCTGATCTGGATCCTGACGCTCGCGGCCATCGCGCCAACCTGCGCATCGGGACCCTGCAGTACGACCCGCGCATCTACTCCTGCACCTTCGCGCAGTCCGTCAGCTCCGCCTACACCATCGCCGTGGTGGTCTTCCACTTCCTGGTCCCCATGGTCATCGTCGTCTTCTGCTACCTGAGAATCTGGATCCTGGTCCTGCAGGTCCGACGGAGGGTGAAACCTGACCACAAACCCAGACTGAAGCCGCAGGACTTCAGGAACTTCGTCACCATGTTCGTGGTCTTCGTGCTGTTTGCCATTTGCTGGGCTCCCCTGAACCTCATCGGCCTCGCCGTGGCCTCAAACCCGGCCGGCATGGTTCCCAGGATCCCAGAGTGGCTGTTCGTGGCCAGTTACTACATGGCGTATTTCAACAGCTGCCTCAACGCCATCATCTACGGGCTGCTGAACCAGAACTTCAGGAAGGAGTACAGGAGGATCATCGTCTCCCTGTGCACAGCCAGGATGTTCTTCGTGGAGAGCACCAACGATGGGGCAGGCAGGGTGAAATGCAAACCCTCTCCACTAAGGACCAACAATCACCTCATAAAGGTGGACTCCGTTTGAAGAACAAAGCGTTACTGGCAAGACACGAATCCTGCTCAAGGTCTTACTGAATGTCATGTTTGCTTCCCTCTTGACAAATGTCTAGGAAAACTGGTGAAAAAAAACACCCAACCCGTGCTCTTAAGAGGTTGTCTCTATGCCTCCTGAGCGAAATACAGAGCGGTATGTTAATTGAAGCCGATGGTTCAAGGACAGAAGGGCGGACTTTTAAATAAAAATGCTGATGGTATGCAAATGGAAAAAGTGTGAAAACTTTTTGAAATTGCAAATGAATGCCATAAATGTCGTAATTGCTTTTTTCCCCTCCACTTTTTAAAGATTTTTCAGTAGGAAAACGAGTGGTGTGTTTTTTTTATAAGAGTCAATGGAACAAAATGGGGTAAAGTGGAATGAGTGACTCTTTACACAATGAAAAGCTGAAAATAAATCAGCGATGAACTCAACAACAGCCACCACTACAACATTTTCAGCTGGCAGTGTTAGCATTGGGTAGCCAGAGTCATGATCATAAATGTTTGCCGCTCTCTATTAAAAGTTGCACATTGAACTGGATAAAGAGCTAACTAAATGACAGAGCGCTTTATCAGTTGTTCACAACCATACTATTTCAAAGCCATAGCTACATATAAAACTCTATGTGACCTTATTAGACATTTGGCTTATTTGTCACTGAATGTCATTATTAATCATGTCACTGAGTGGCTGTTCTGAATTGATCCCTGTTGATTAATTGGCATCTTAGTTCATTAAAAAAATGACAAAGAATCAAAGAGCTGTAGATTCTTAGATATGGTGCTGAATGTGTTTCATACTGACAATCTATTTGGGCAAGTAAATATCTAAGTCAGAAAGTTTTTCTTTTATCCCCATCTCAAAACAATATTCTTCAATAATTAATTTAGTATTTGATTGCCCTAATAAAACTGAAAGCCTAGAAGAAAAAAAACAAACCACGAGTGACTATGTTTTTATAAATGGTGGCTCTAGTTTGCCCCAAGTAGCTATTTGGGACTACTATGAGGTTTATTACATAGAGTGCTTTGCAGGAAATTAGGGCAACGTGTTCTTGTATTTTAAAGTTCTTCAACCAAATTATCTCATCCTAGAATGAGTTGGTGATTTACAGCTCTACACATAAAAAAAAAACAGTGATCTGAATACATTTCCTAATATCTCTAGATAATCAGAATCTCCTTGGAAAGTTCTAGATCCATTATTTGGAAACGTTCCTCTGATAATTCTTCTCATCAAGCATATTTAGGGACACTAAATTATGACTTATGGGGTGATGGTGATGGTATGCATGTGCATGTGTGTGTTATTTCTCAAACTTTACCTATCAAGTAATTTACCTGTAAAAATTCTAGCCAGAACCAATATTAAAGAGTAGAAATCATTTCTCTTATTGTTAAGGTTTCTTATTTTATTTTTTCCATCACCATTTTCCCCCTCTATACCCTCTTTCACCTTCACCCACCCTCCTCCACCCATGAAATCACCACACTGTTGTCCATGTCCATGAATTTTCTCTCTCTTTTTATTTATTTTTTGCTCAATCCCTCTATCCCCACACTCTCACTCCCTAGTTGCCTGTCTGCTCTCTATCTATGGGTCTGTCTCTATTTTGCTTGGTAGTTCAGTTTGCTCATTAAATTCCACATGAGTGAAATCATATGGTACTTGTCTTTGACTGGCTTATTTCACTTAGTGTAATGTTCTCCAGGTCCATCCATACTGTTGCAAAAGGTAAAATTTTCTTCCTTTTTATGGCAGAGTAGTATTCCATTGTGTAAATACACTACAGCTTTTTTGGGAGCTTGTTTGGAGGTTCTAGCAGGGGAGTGCAGCTACTCGTCTCCTCTTGACCGAAGACTAGTCCTCTCCTGGCTAGGGGGGGGGGGGGGGGGAGGAGGGAGGTCGTCCTCTTCGACAGAGCACGCAGCTTCGGGAGGGACGCACATGGATTGGTGAGGGAGGAGGGGGACACCCGCCTAGCCAGCCAGATCAGCCGAATCAACCCTGGTGATCAATGGGGTGACAGATGTCGCAGCCAGATCGCCCTCACATCCACTACAGCTTTTTTTTTTATCCAAGAGTAGAGATCATTTTTAAGCTAACATGCCAAATTTTAGATAACTGAACCTTAAAAAAGATTAACCATGTTAACTGAACTCTTTTTGAAATGCATTACATTTTTTTCTTGATGCTGAGGATGAATTACTATGTTGGTAACTCTAGAGCATGGTTGCTCTTTATAGAATTTTATTTCTTAATTTATACAATAACAAAAATACCAAATAGAAACGGTGCCCTTTAAAAATTGTCTGCCAAGTTGAGTATCTCACCTGAAAATCAGTTATGTAACATTAAAATCTTGAACTGTTTTCTTCACGACCATCAGAAAATTAGTTAGTTAAAATATTGACAAAGAAAAAGCAACCGATAAAGATCAAAGTCAAAGACCCAGATTTTCTCTAATGAAATCTCACTGTAGACGACTGGTAAGCATTCCAGATATTATCACGGGTTTCCTCACTTTAGTATTAACAAGGAGAAAGTCTTTAGCTAATTATGTTTTTTTCTGCCCCCCCAAATTTAATTAGTTGTGCCTGATTTTTCAGGGTACAGATTACTTTGTAGACTGTTTGGAAGATTTAACTCTTTCAAGACTACTAGATTACTATTATCAAATGACTGTTGCATAGTACAAGTTGGTACCTAGACTAATATTCACTTGGAGTAGATAGAGAAGAATTTGACCCTTCTAATTTACATAAATCATTTGAATATTATCATTGGAAGGTTTGCCTTAATTGTATCCTCTTATGGAATATTGAAATCATGTAGGATTCTTTTTTGCCTTCAGTGAATGTCACTTTTACACATACATTATTGTATTTCTTATACCTGTTGCAATAGATTACTTTGGGACATATTACCTATACTTCATTATGTAAGCTTCATAACCACACAAAATATGACTATTTTTTAAAAGTAAAGAATTAATAGATACTATAGATTGGGGAGGTGGAAGAAATAATTTCAGTTTCTCTACTCCACTGCATGTTTTATTACCAAATATTTGTATACAACTCATTCACATGCATAAAAATGATGCTTTTTCTGACAAAGCAGCAGAACTATTTGGTTTTAAATATTCTGGAAAGAAATATGAAATAATAACCAATCTTGGATATTAAATCTATAATTGCTCATTGAGTAAACACATTCAACCTGAGTAATAATTTTGACCACTTTTTGGACTGCCTCTGATGCATCATCAAATATTGCGCTGTGAATAAGTAAACACATTTGGAATATAAGGCATACATTTCAAGTCAGTTTAAATTACTAAATTATTATATTTGAGAATTACCTGAGCATAAACTTCTTTAAGCAGGCATTTCCTCTTAATAAATAATTTTTACAATTTCTTTTGAACCCTTCCTTTTACTTTTCTGTACTTTTATGCTTGAAAATAAAGAATCTCCATGAAAAAGAACCTCCATTGTAAGTACATACAGTGCACCCATAACAAACAGGGTAAAAATTCAGTAACAAATGGGTACCCACAGATTGTCTGGTAATTGTGATTGTGATGGAAGCAGTTGTGCCAGGTTCCTGAAATGTTGGGACATATCCTAACTGGGCGCAGCTTATGCCTGTCTACTGCCAGAGGACAATGGAGTCAAGTGCATTTACAATCACCTTGTTTCAAAGTGGCAACGGGAACTGTAAATTCAACTGTGTGGCATCAATCATAAAGGGACACATAATGATGTTAGAATCATAAGCCTTAATCATATTATGCAATATTTAACATCTCTATAACAGAAACATTTTAAATTAATGAATTTTAAATTATTTACAAATGATTCTTTTTTAAAAAAAATATATTTTATTGATTTTTTACAGAGAGGAAGGGAGAGAGATAGAGAGTTAGAAACATCGATGAGAGAGAAACATCGATCAGCTGCCTCCTGCACATCTCCTACTGGGGATGTGCCTGCAACCCAGGTACATGCCCTTGACCGGAGTCGAACCTGGGACCTTTCACTCCGCAGGCCGATGCTCTATCCACTGAACCAAACTGATTTTGGCACAAATGTTTCTTACTGTTAAAGAGTTTAGTGAAGAGAGAAAGAGTCATGTATGGGTGTCTTCGTGTATATGTGCCTACTGTGTGTTTGAGTCAGTTGGCTGCTTTTTGTTTCATCTTTAATGTTGATGATCTTTTAAAGATGAAACTCCACAGTTTTGAAGAGATAAAAGATTACTTAGATGTTGTGCTATGTTGTCAGGAATAATGAAATGATACCTTTTCCCTAGGAAACAGTACCTTTGTTATGACGACACATCCCTGTGTTCTGATTACAGGCGGTCTATGGTTAACATGCCCATTTCGAAGCCATTTGGTTATTGTTGCTTTTAGACATTAGATACTGATCCTGTCTTTCCTTACTGAACCTGGTGCTCCAATTTCTGATAGAACCGCTACTTTGTGATGAGCGATGCAAACAAACCTGGTTTATTAACCAAATGGAGAAAATAATTTTCTTTGTTTGTAATTAAAAATAAATTGTACATTCTGTTTCCATGATGTGTTCAACAAATCTTTAAGAACTCCTGAGTATTGGTGCCTAGAAAGTTCTAATAACTTCATTGATGCTGTGACCATTGAGCTAGAGAATAAACATTTGTTTAGACAATTCAAAATCATTAAATATAAGATAACCTGGGTTCAGACAATTGTTTTATACTTATACCTATTTTCTTCATTTTGGTTATAAATTTAAATAAAAACCTAAGAAGACATTTTTCAAAAGACAATTTTTACATTTTTGAAAATACAGCCCATGATGTCATATACTTGTATGTTTGCTACTTTTGTTTATTACTCTCTGTACTTTGTTACTGCCAAGGATCAACTTCAATGGAATCTTGCTTGTATATGTTTATTCTAATAAGTGATATGTTATATGTGAAGGTATGTACCTATA